ATATGTTCTAATACTGCACCCCAATGACAATGGCCCTCGAGAATGTTGCAAAACAACCACCTATATCAATCCACTCGGTCGCCCTGCTAACCAATTTTGTATATGGACTGTTAGCAATGCTTACCAAAGCAGTGCCAAGCCATCCACAATGTTCACAGCGAACCTCTAGTCTCATAGGAGACCTTCAGCTCTATACAGCAGTATAGCATATGATGTACACATATATGGCGTAGGATAGTAGAACAGGCAGCCCAGCTTGATGCAAACAGGCCCAAACACTTCTATTACCCTTTGTCTCATGTCGGGCAATGATTTTTTCGCATGTCCGAAATTTTCATTTTTCGACCATATGAGACCTGAGTTAGGGATAGTATCCCTGAATTCTCAAATCACATATGTTTATTCGCTGAGTTTTTTTTCTTTCCTATGGCTACTACAATAATAAATATAATAGGTATAAATATATAGTTATATCGATTATTGTTTTTGATCGAAATCATGAATCAGTCATTGTTAAACCACTATTAGAAACCTGGAAGCACTGGACCACCGTTTCTTCCTGGTATGGTACTCATCAGCAGTGAGCATCGACGACTCGTACTACTCACTGGAGTTGAACCCAGGACGTTCGGTCTCACGCGCGAGCGCTGAACCTCTGTACCATTGAGGTGACATCGAACGTTGTTAATGTCTAACTCTGTTCAATCTACGGTCTTGCTCAACCCCACTTGCTGTCTTCGGTGAGCACTGTGTTACACTCGAACAGTGTTCAACCCCACTAGTCACGTCATCTCACAGACCTGTTACGCTCGTCTCTAGGTATACTTCTATTACGAGTTCACCTTTGTTGAATAACGAGAACAAAACAATGAACCAGCGTCCAGGTAGGCTACTGTGATCCCTTGACCAAATTGAATCAGCAAGAAGTCTTGATATAGTGTAGAAATTGTGTTCTACAAACACCCAGCCAGCACACAATGAATCCAAGCACTCAAATCGCGTTTATTTCTACTCTATAGAGACGTCCTTGGGACAGTCACAAAAATAGCACACTAAAATGACACAGTAACCAATCAAAGCGAAGAATTTTCCTAGTGGGAAATGTGATTTCAAGGTCAACTGATCGGTCAATGAAATAAATCCTAAATAAAGATATTTATCAAGCGAGTTCTGGGAATCTAACATCCTCAACAAGACCTCAACCTGGTAGTCTACATCAACCAACATGGCTCAATCCATCTGTCAGTGATTTCATAGATTTATGCCATGTTTTTGGTCTGACCGCCCTTAACTTTCTTCCAACCTCCTCCTACATCACAATATTGTCATTTTAGTCACAAATGATTTAAAATTGATAGATTATGATGGCTATGGTATTGGGTTGTTATTAATTTCAGTGTTTAGCTTCAATGCATTTTATTTACTGTACAGGTGCTTTCATTGCGTTTTTTTTGCTTTTCACTTTTCGACAATCTATTCTTATGTTTTTATGTTATTGTAATTCAATTGAATATTATTTGTGATTTAATGCTTTGAAGAGATTTAGTTATTATCTTTTAAGCCAACACATGATTTATAGCACTAAAGCGTAATGACTACTAACACAGTGTTTATTGTATGGAATTAGAATAATAATACAACACCTAGATTATTCCTAGTGCTTTTCTTCAGTGTTGTTGAATTATAGTTAGAAAAATAATTGAATTTCAACTATTATTATATCATCAGTTCGAAACTTTCTTAATCTACTTGTTTCGGTTTCCTGATTCGGATATATTATTATATTAGTAGTGGTATTATCACAAACTCCGGTACACACATAGTTAGTTCATGGTGGTTTGACATCAAATAGAAAAGTCCTATAGATGGTGTTATGGAGATGCATATGATTTCTCTTTAAATTCGATGTGTAGCATATTGTTGCATTTTACAGTCTGATTCAGTTTTGATGTACGCCTTTTAATGAAATGAACAGGAAAGTGTGATTATATATATATATATATATATATATATATATATATATATATATATGATTGCCCTTCTGACCCAGACAAAGACATGTAGACTAAGGCCTTAAGTAGCTGCTTAAATGACCTCCTCTAACAACATTGTGTCTCTTCTATGATTTTTTTTAGCCTACGACTTAACCTTAAGTTGACATGTCAGCACATCTATTGGTTAGGCATTCTTATAACACACAACTTTATCATATATTGATTTATAAAAAATGATTTATTAATTTATTTTTATTTATATCACGAACTGATCTAAATTAGATAATCACTAACAACCTGAAAGCACTGGAAAGCCGTTTCGTCCTCATATTTTGGAATCTTTGATGGTTGTACGCATCGACAGCCATACAACCAGATATTAGGAAGTAACCCATCGAATAAAAAATGGAAGGTGATCGTACAGTTTCGTGGATGGATTGAGGCTAGTCATGTGCATTATTAGATATCGATGTGGCGGTTGTGTTCACACATACGATCAATGATCTTGGGTTCGACCCTGTTTGGTTCGTCACTAGGTACGCTTGAAGCTATTACAGGTTTACCTTAGTCAATTAACGTGAACGTGACAATAAACCAGCGTCCAGGTAGTCTACCTTGAATCCTAAACTGTAAAACAGAAGACTTGGTAAGCGCAGTGGTATATTCTACAAACACCCAGCAAGCACAATACAATCAAGCACACATCTCTCGTTTATTTATACATCATAGAAACGTCCTTGGGACAGTCACAAAAACAGCCCACTAAAGTACATAGCAGCCAATCACAACCAAGGATTTTCCTGGTGGTAAATGAAATTTCAAGGTCAACTGATCAGCCCATGCTCGCAATCGTGAAATCCAAAATAAGGCATTTAACAAGCGAGTTCTGGGGATCTAATATCCCCCAACAGACCCCTGGTTACTTGATTGTAAGAACGTACGTCTGCGTAGTGACATACTAGGACAAAGGAGTTATTCATTGCTTCCAGGTTTTCAATGATTTTCTAATTTGGATCGGTTCTTGATCTTCATAAAACTTAATTTCTTTATGTAGATACGTAATTTTTTTTACTTTATAGGGTGATAGATTTGGCGGTGCATTGGATGCTGCAGCACGTCAATTTTCACAAGCTTATGATGCTGGTTTAACACCTGCACAATTTGTTAATCAAGAACGTCAAGCATCACGTCTTATCATGGGTATTGGACATCGAATTAAATCAATAACAAATCCAGATAAACGTGTTCAATTATTATCAAATTATGTACATGAACATTTTGTAGCAACACCGATTGTTGATTATGCATTTGAAGTTGAGAAAATTACCACTAATAAGGTATTTATTATTATTATTATTAATATTATTAATATTTTTAAGTTTTACAAATTTACTTTCAGTTTTCTTTGTTCACTTTGAATAATTTCATTGAATATTATTTAAAAATTTTACAATTATCAGATTACAGTTCACAATAAATAGTCTAACAAGAATAAACTTTTTACGAAATCTAAAAGTCACTCACTGAATAGTGTATGTAGGCGCATACCACAATTAAACAGCACCAAAACTATTCATTAACATCCTCGTTTACAAGTTCTTATATAAGTTTATGAAGAAAACCAATTTTAATCTAGACTGTTTTTCACAAAACTCAATCAACACAGCATTATGTAACTGTTGGACTTCTTGAAAAATCAGACGATGGAAATACAAGTGATGCTTTCATCTTCAAAGTTAGTTGAATGACAGAAGTTTAAGGCATTTTTTTTGATGTTTACGAATGACCGCAAATTTATTGAAGCTTCTGTTAAAAGTATACCGAGATATGGTTAAATTAATGAGAAAAACAGCCATATCAAGTCAGTCCCCTAAAAATGTATGCATGTACTAACAAACTCAATCCTGAGTGTTGAGGTTGCTCTCAGAAAGTGCGATGAAGCCCCCAGAGATTCTCAAAAAGCTTAAGATACTCCATCCAATGACAACCCAATAGAATGTCTGGAATACCGACTTGCCATATGGTGATTGGTTAATTGTATAACATCTCTGTCTTCGGATGTGATTATTGATAATTATGTTTACACTCTAAACGAAAACGTATAAATACACATGGTTTCCTTGCGTGTTTTGATACCTACTGGCGTAAACATCTCTTCTGTTTTATTCCGGCATTTGATTTACGACTTAGGAGACTGTTCTACTTGTTCTAGTAGCAAATGTTGTAATCAGTGTTTAGCTGTAGGCAGACCTAACACTGACTATCACTATCACGATAAAACAAACTGTTACGGATTAACACAATTCGTTAAGCACGTTTAATGGCTTTCAATGGTAGCATAATGCATAACTTGATAGCTGTTGAAATTTTTCATTATCCTTATAAACGTTAACACTCAATGGGCGAAGCAAATACATTCAATAGTCGAATCCTACACAAGAAAGAAATGCATATTTTGGATTCCACTGCTAGACACATTCTAAATTTTAGGAAATAGGCTGTCTTTGTGTTTATCAATCAAGTGAAGACCAACAATGAACTAACTACATTTAAGCAAGGCAAATTCTTAAAGTACATTGGTTAATCAGTTTTCTCTTTGGAGAAACTTTCAAAAAACAATAACAGATCAGTTGTCTTATTATCTTGGTTATCAAATAATTGAATATCTTTTCTTAAATCCTATTTACCACTTTTTTTTTATCTGGTTTTTAGTATCCTTAGTTTACATATGAATACTATGAATACCATCGTTCTTTTTTGTCAATAACATAATCGCTTTCATTCTAACACTTCTTCCATAGTTCCTACTTTCTGTTTGTTTTTAAAAAAATACTATTCGAAGGCTAAAATGACAGTTTAAGAAGTATCTAAGTTTTAGAATATGTGACACCATCATCAGTATTGTCTGTCGGTCAGTATCAAAGCTAATAGGAAAGAGTGTGTGTGTGTGTGTGTAAGTGGGCTGAATGTATGTGCAACAGTAAGGGATTATAGCAAAGAAAGAGAGGAATAATGTTTTTTTTCAAAAAAAGTAAGGACAAATTCAAAGTAATTAAATTGTTTGTTGAATTACTAAACCATTTTTTGTTGTTGAAAAGTTGTCTTACTTCTAATCGGTGTTTATATGTTTATCATCTATCACATTTGTCTATTTAGCGCCCAAATTTAATTTTAAATGTTGACGGCATGATTGGTACAGCAATGGTGGATTTGTTAAGAAGTTCCGGCTGTTTTACACCGTAAGTTTTTAATGATCAAGTTGTACTATCATATATGTGTATATTTTTAACTGGATTTATTGAGACAAACTAAACTAATGACCGGTTCCTTGATTGTCTGATTTGGTCAAACATTTGAGTAGTATTGTGGTGGACACACACATATCTGTAGATACAACCGGGATATGGTCACTACTGATGTGGCTTTATTCTCTCTATGTGATTTTATCGTTAACGACTTCGCCTAAAGCCAAAATCGAATGTTGCTTTTTATAAATTTCAATTGACTCATATCAACTTCAGCAAACTACACACCACTAGTTTGTGGTTGAGAGTCCCTAACAATTTTTGGGAAAAATTTTGAAAAGGTAGGAAAATATTTCTAACTTTTGACTTTCTTAAAAAGCCTTCAAAGAGATTCTGAAAGATTATGGATCATGTTTTATGATCCTAACTAAACAGTTAGTTATTGATGGTATTACCAATTTTTATACATGTGTTATATTTATTGACTTTATAATTTCTAAACCGCTCAAATTAACAAAAGTAAAAAAAATTTATTGGAGTTCTAGTGAGAAGACGTGACCACTAGAGAGAGTTCAACCATGTTGGGTCTAGGCAGTAACTATCGAAGACAATGCTTGAGGTTGTACAAAATCCTTAAATTTGGTCAGAATCAGATATTAAGACCGTCAGGTGCTGGCCAGCCTGGTGGTCCAGAGGTCGAAGGTCCTGGGTTCGAATCCTGCGAGCAGCGACAGTTGTGGATGCTGGTGGGTTCCACATCAGGACGACACGACCGTCTAGTGCCTCCAGGTTTCTTTCTAATGGTGATCTAACAATTATTCATTCATGATTCTGATGTGTAAGAAAATAGTTTATCTAATTTCTATATCTTTCATTCTGTTCATTGCCATTAAATTTATGTAGATTCTATTCAAACAACTTAATTTATTTCATACTTGATTTGTTTCTTGTTTATTTGAATATAATTAGTGAAGAAGCTGAAGAGTATATCACTATTGGAACATTGAATGGCTTGTTTGTTCTGGGTCGATCAATCGGATTTATTGGTAATTTTAATTGTTACCTTAATGAGTATTGCATTTTGGTGAAGTTTTTGTGTGGGGGTTGTTGTTGACTAGCATTGGTATCTAGGATCAATGTTCTATCCTACACGACACTCCATCACATACATATCCTACTGATGTGTTACAAATATAAAGAAAATACCTGTCTTGGATTTCATCATACTAGTCATATATCAAGCATAATGTAGAATTTTTTTTCTCATTAAATATTCAGTTTTATGGTACTACATGTCTGAAACTGATACTGAGGCACACAGTTTCTGTACTAAAGCTCCCAATCAGCTATTGAATGCAAAGAGGTAAAGATACCTTCATTTAGCTTATTCCAAATTGAATTCTAACTGCATACCGACCATAGTTAAAGACCATACTTGTGTGATTTTCAGGTTTGCATACACATTTGACAATAAACTACATTGATCATTTAATATAATGCATACTATAATGGTAGGGTATCACCAAACTCTTAATTGATCATAATAAGACAAGATTTCGTCAACAAATGTCTGCTATTTCAAATCCACATTTCAAATAATTATCAGAATGTGTTGAACATCCCAAGTAAATCAGTTAGTCATAGACAGTAGGCTGAAGCTTTTTCCCTAATCGACTAATTAGTTATACTGATTTAAATAGATTGTAAATATTTAAGAAACCAATTGATACAACTGAATTGAATAAATTATCTCTGTTAGACTTTGTTGACACTTATATAACTTACTTTCAGAATGAACTTAAAACTGGTCTCTTATTCTGGTTAATATATATATTTTCGGGCAGAGTTTTGGAGGTTTTGTGTTTTTACACATTTGAAATCATCAATCAATCATTGTTAGACCACCATTAGAAACCTGGAAGCACTGGACGGCCGTTTCGTCTTAGTATGGGACTCATCAGCAGCGTGCATCCACGACTCCTCCACCTCACATGATTCGAACCCGGGACCTTCGGTATTGTGCGCGAACGCCTAACCATCGGACCACTAATCTGATCATGACTAAACGAGAAGTAGAATTGACTGCAGTGTTTGTTGTTAATTGCCAAAGTTTAAATGATATATTCATTGCGAATTAGTCTACTAGTCAGTCAGCACAATTTTCTTCGAAAGTGTGATTTTTTAATTTATAAATAAATTGTTTATGATAATAAATGAAATAAAAAGTACAAATTTCTTAATGTGATGATGCCATGTTTACTTAAATTAATGTCACATAAAATAGGGGAATAGGTCAAATGGTTTGAAAAAAACTAGACATTGGAATAATAATCATTAGAATTATAGATTTCATCATAAGAAGTGTTCAAATAAATTGGAGAGTGTAACGTATATTTGAAGAAACAATAGTATGAATTGGTGTTTGTTTGTGTGTGTGGAGAGTTAGATTATTTGTCAATAGATTTCATGGACAAATGCACTTTAATGACCAGCCAATCAAAATTGTGAAAGTGAGTTTTAGGGTTTTGCATTTAATTCAAACATCATTGATGACGAGAAGTAGAAATATATATATACAATGTGCTCACTAGTGACTAGCTTCGTGAGGAAATTCTCGGCAGTAGCTGCCGAATATAATAGATTAGGTTGCGCAAAACCTTAGACTGATTAGAGTTAGATATTAGCACCATTGGATGCCGACTCAGTGTTCGAGAGGTTAAGCGTCCGCGCGCAAGACGAAGGGTCCTCGGTTCGAGTCATGCTAATAGCAGGACTCGTGGATGCATACCGCCGATTAGTCACATACCAGGACGGAATAGCTGTTTAATGCTTCTAGGTTTCCTTCTATTGGTGGCCAACCACGGGTCGATTCATGATTTCACAGTAACTCAACGATCTCCATAACCCCACAATGCAAAAAATATATATACATGCTTCTGATAACGTTTAAATCGACCATAAAAAAGCTGTTTCTGCAGCCATGTGGTAAAAATTATACTTTCAAAAGTATCGAATGCTTAATTCTTTCTGTTTAGATTATTTACAACAAGTAAATCGATACTTAAATCCTAAGCTTAAACCCTTAATTTTGAAGCAAACACAAACCTGATGGCACGTAATTTTGGTGGAGCGAAATATATGGCTAGAAACTATCTGAAAATTCATTGTGGTTATTTTAAACTTGTCTTTGCATTACTGTCATCAAATATACTGTGTCATTCATATTGAGAGTTTTATGTAATAACTATGCTGCTACGTATTCGCAACTAGAATTGATTACCTCAACTGTCTTAGTATATTGGTAATTGATAAACTTGCTGTTTTCTTATTGGTTGATTCAAATGTTTGTCTGTCCTTCCACAATGAACCGATGATTTTTATGTGCATTTATGTGATCAGATTTGACGATTGTTGTTCGGTATTGCGTTAAACATAAATTAGGTAGTATTTTTTTTTGTCTTTCATAATCAAGTGGATTTATGTGGAGATTGTATAATTTTACGTAGTTGAAATCACATGAACTAATCTTAACCAAACGACCATCATTATTAGAAACCTGAAAGCTTTGAACTGCCGTTTCGTCCTACTATACGATTTATCAGCAATGCGCATACTCCATAATCCCAGCATGTGGGAATCAGTCAGTCAGTCAGCTGCAATGTAGAACTCCTTACGTAAGTACATCAGTTCATGTTGCCATACCACATTAGCACAGAGACGCAATTGTCAATTCATATCGCATAGTGGTAGAGATAGTAGGAGTACTACTGGTAATAGAGAGGATTAGGGTTCCAAGATATTATTGAAGAAGTGTAATTAAGTGAAATAGGTTTAGGAAGACAGGTAGAGGTGTTGATCAATCTAGAAGATTAGGATTTGAGAGAACACAGAGTAGATGCACCTGCGCCATTGCAAACGATTTTGATCTATGTCGTTCAAGGTCTCTAACCATTGGTGACTTTCGTCTCGCGGACCCCAACCAGGTAGTCTACATCTACCAACATGACTCAGTCCACTTGTCAGTGACTTCATGGACTTCTGCCATGTTTTGGTTTGTCCGTCCCTAGCTTTCGTCTAACCTATTCCTACATCGCAAAACATAGCTTGACAAGGCAGTCGGTGGTTAGGCATTCGAACACATGTCCTAACCACCTCAACTGATGATGATTCAATACTTCATCTGTTGACCTACCACCCTTACCTAGTACTCGTTTCCTAACGACAGTATTGCTCACTTCGTTGTCGCATGATACACGAGCAATGCTTCTACGACATCTATAATCAAATACTAGTAACCTACGAATATCTTCTATTCTTACCGGCCATGTTGTCCTTTGGTTAGCGAACGGATATCTCGCCTACGGCATAAATTGGCGAAAGCAAATCGAGCCTTCTGTATCCGAGCTGAAAATTCGTCAGTCATTAGGCCATCAGCTCTGATGAGACTCCCAAGACAAGTGAAGCGGTCTACACGTTCGACTACTTCACTCCCTATCACTAGTTCAGATTTCGGTGCAACCCAATCTTGAAGCAACATTTTGCATTTCGAGGGTGAGAACCGCATCTTGAACATGCTTGCATTGTTCTTTAGGCTAGTTAGAAGACTCAGCATTTCGTCAGCGTCTTCACCGAATAGAACTATGTCATCGGCATACTCTAAGTCAATAAACGAGCCTCCTGGAAGAAGGTCTACTCCTGAAAATTCAGATGAAGATAATGTTATATCTATCAGCATGTCTGTGACAAGATTGAACAAGAATGGAGAAAGTGGACATCCCTGATGGACACCACTTGCAGTAGAGAATTCAGATGATTGTATGCGGAAATCAAACCTTGGACATTCAGTTATCCGCCCGAACACTTAAGCTTTCGACCATTGAGTCGGCATCCAATGCTGTTAATGTCTTACTTATTTTTTATAGAACTTTGCAAACTATACACTGTCATGCACAAATATTTCGTGAAATTAGGATAATATTTTGACCTAGTGAATTGTTCCCATATATATCGAACACCTATAAATATTTGACTGCACATACACGCTGTATGCTTGTTGTAAATTGTACAATCAACGAATTTAACATTCGTCTTAATCTAATGCTGTATTTGCTTAAGAACCCACTCATCTTGTACCATCTATTCCAAACAATAAATCTGTATGTAATTCGTTATTATTTGTATGTAGTATTCAGTTTTCCATATACATACATAAACGCACAACTGATGTGCGAAACTAACCATATGTATCTTAATTGACTACTTCTTTTCTTTTTTTAAAGCCAGCAAACTAACTACCTCTATATTTAAGTAGATTCGAATGTGTAGTGATTAATTTTTCAACAAAACTTTAATTTGCATGATAGGGTTATGGAGATTGTTGAGTTATTTTGGAATCATGAATTGATCAATGTCAGAATATCATTAGAAGGAAACGTGAAAGCACTGCACGGCCGTTTTGTCTTGATACAGGACTTATCGACAGCGCGTATCCAGGACTAATGCCACTCACAGGATTCGAACTCGGGCCCCTCGGTCCTATGCGCGAGCGCCTAACTTCTGGACCACTGAGCTGGCCGACGTCCAGCGGTTTTATTGTCTAACTCTGTTGGATCCACTATGGTCCATTGCTTCCATGTTTCTAATGGTAGTCTAACATTCATCGATTCATGATTTCATTAAAAAAGACTTGATTTCGACCAATTTGGTCTCGTGTGCTGTTAGGGGTATAAGGGCGGTTGTCACTTCCCGGCCGCCCACACCGTGGAAGGTTGTTTCTAGAGCAGCCTGAAAAAGAAGATAGATTAGTGTTGGTCTTGGAGACCTGGTTGCGTGACCGCAGAGCCTAAGGGACAACTGCTTGAGGAAGGTCACGCACGGCCTTTTTATGAAAGGTTTTCTGAGGATTAGCTCCGCTCTTAAAGCCCCTTAGTGGGCACCCTTACCCAAGGAGACGGAAATCCGTGAGGTAGGGTGAGGTGTGACATTTTTAGGGTCGACCTTTTCTAACCCTTCCTTCCTTGTGCGAAGGCAGCATCGCTGCAGATGCTGGTTGTCCGAGGGAAACACCTTAGTGCTGTCACACCCCTCTGCAGTCAGGAGTACGACTTCGCCCTCAGACCTTGGGTAGCTGCTTTTAGTCTCAACGTTCTCCAATCGACCTGCCTGGCATGGTAGAACCTTCAGGAACATATGTTCCAGCCAGTATAGCTCGGTTGGGTCATCACGATAGGCGAGACCGACCACCACGTCAAGATAGCAGCTACTGTCGGGTTCTTTGTGTTCTCTCCAATTCTAATCTTCTGGATTCTTCAACCCCTCTAGTTTTGACTTTCTAAACTTTTCTCATTAAATCATACTTCTTGAATAATATCTTCTAATCCTAAACTCTCCGATTACTTCTAATACCTTTACTACCTCTTCTACTATTGGATTTGAATTGACGATTACTTCTCTGTGCTGATGTTGTATGGCAACATGAACTGATGTACTTATGTACGAAGTTCTACGTTGCATCTGACTGACTGACTGATTTCATCAGAAGCCCTCATTACTCAGATCTTCAGTTGTGTTATTATTTATAGACTTGGGAATAATTTTTCATTGTCACAGTTTGTTATCAGATAATTCGTTTTTAACTCTTTTTTTACTTATTTTATTAGGTCATTATTTAGATCAGAAACGTTTACATCAAGGCTTATATCGTCATCCATGGGAAGATATCTCTTATCTATTACCAAAATCATCATAGTTTTAATCAAATCGTCATTTTCTATGAACATTCAACACAATTAACATTGATTCTTCACAATTTATTTATCATTCTTTTTATTAATATCAATGGGAATTTTAAATTCATTCGGTTTTTTCTTTGATTTTATATATATGCATATATTACCATGAAAATTGAAGAAAAATTTCAAAAAAAGGTGTTTTTCTTTTCTTCTAAAAAGAAAAACTTTTTTTTCCATTGATTAAACTCTATTTATTAATAAATATACGGTTGTGAACGTCCATATTTTTGTCATTGTATTCAATACTACTACTACTACTACTTACTACCCTACTTACTTACTTACTTATCCATTCAATTTAGTTACTTTCAACTTTTAAACATTTTTATTTTTTAAAATGAAATCATCCAGGTGGAAGTTGGTTGTTTTATTATGCATTTCACTTATTCATCATTGTGTGTTTATCCAGTTTTCTGAACTTGTCCAACATTCCATCCAATTTGCCCCGTCTTGTCTATTTATCGAATGTGTTTCAATATTGCCCCCATGGAATTTTTAAAATATTTTAGCCTTTCTTTTCTTCAAAGTTATTCACTACTCATATACATACACATTGCATGTAAAATGCTCACACACACACACACACACACCCATACACACATGCATTTGTTAGTTAGTACACTGATAGCCATCATCATCATCATCAACACACATCAGAATGGTTGTGGTCTCTTGAAATGGTTGTGAATACTATTTATTATTATTATTATTATTATTATTATTATTATTATTTTTATTATTACTACGATTGATAGAATTTCTATTCTGATTAGTAAGCTGTTTGTTTTTCTACATGTTTGTTTTTATTTACAAAAGATTTTAACTTATATTCATCAGTTTGACAGTTTGTTTTTCTCTTGTTTATCTATCCTATTGAATGAATCATTAGAGTTGGAGATAAACTTTTTATTTTATTTTTTCCATTCTATGCACTATAAACTTTCTTCTTCTATGAATAAGTATATTTATTTATTTGTTAAAGGAAATGGTGTTGAACAAGTACTGTCTCCCCCCTCTCTCTCTCTCTCTATCTCTCTCTAGTTCTTTCTATCACATAATCATGTATGAGAGTTTGATTAAATGATAACCATTGAGGATACAAATACATATATATATGTATCACTTTCTCATCTAAATCTCTCCTTGGCTACTTTTCATTCACTTTGCTAGTTATTATTATTATTGTAATCCCTAAATGATTTGCGCCGTTTTATTTATTGTTGCCATTGTTCTTCTTCTCTTCTTGTTCTCTTCTCTGTTTTTTCTATTTTCCCATTTGAATTTTTTTTTTGGTTATTAAAAAGTAGTATTATAATAAATTATTTATTAATTAGTAATATAGTTCGTTCTTTTTTTCTTAAACATGTTACTGCTAGTAATCTGAGTGGAAATGCAGTTGCATGATAAACTTAGTGATATGTACAAAAAGATGATCATGGATGTATACTGGGATCACAGAGTATTAGCCATACTAGTAATTAAATGCAGGGTACTATTTACGATTTGAAGATGATGAATCGATTATTGAGGTAGTGAATTCCGGTGTATATATATATATATATATATTAAAATCATGAATCGTTCATTGTTAGAGCACCATTAGAAACCTGGAAACACTGGATGGCTGTTTCGTCCTGGTATAGGACTCGTCAGCTTTTGCGCCGAATCCTTAGGTTGAACATTAACATCGTTGTATGCCGTCCGGCTCAGTGGTGTAGAGGTTAGGCGTTCACGCGCAAGACCAATTCCTACGAGTAGTACGGGTCGTGGATACGCACTGCTGACGAAAAGACAAAACGGCCTTCCAGTGCTTCCAGGTTTCTTTCTAATATTTATCTGTAAATGATCGATTCATGATTTCAATGTAAGGAATACGACCATCATAATTCTATAATTAAAAAAACATATACATATTGCATCATAAATTACTCAATAAGTATTTATGTTGTATCTATTCGATCTATCTACAAGTGCATTGTTAGTTTACTCCGAATGATCGGATTCAAAGTAATAATAAAAGACTATGAATCGATCTCTAACATTCATGTACATAATTATTTGATTTCAGTTATTTTTTCATTCATTGTGGTGGTGTTTCGTTCTCTGAGCTGGATGTTTTGGTTGTAGATCTTTCATTGTTCTTTTGGACTACTTCCTCAGCACAGACTTTAGATAGAAGTGAAGTATTCGAATTTCTCCACGTTCGGCCCGTAGCTCGTTCTGTGAACCTTGATCTTGATTGATTGTCTGCCGTTGTATGTACCTTTGGTTTGCCTGGATCCCCCTTCTGATATGTTTCTCGATCCTATGTTTGCCTATGATTTTCCTGACTGGTTGATAAATTGGGTCAATATCGATGTGTTTGTTGATTGTTGATTGACCTGAGTGTCAAGCTTTTAAAAATACCCTAGTGTTCTGTTGTCTTCCCACCTATCCATAGGTGACAGTTAACAGAACAAACTACAGGTCAAACGTGGAGAAATTCGAATGCTCTTCACTTCTTCTATCTGAAGTTTGTGCTGCTGATGATGATGTTGTTCAGATGAAGAACAATGAAAGCTTCATAACCAAAAATCATCCAGCTCACAGAGAACGAAACACCACTACAATCATCCGCCTGAGCTATACAAGTTTTGGTCATGAAGCTTTTATTGTTCTTCTTCTGAACAACATCCTCAGCACAAACTTTAGATAGAATTGAAATATTCGAATTTCTCCACGTTCAGCCCGTAGGTTGTTTTGTGAACCTCGATCTTGATTGGCTGTCTGTCGTTGTTTTTACCTTTGGTTTGACTGGATCCCCCTTCTGATATGTTTCTCGATCCTATGTTTGCCTATGATTTTCCTGACTGGTTGATAAATTGGGTCAATATCGATGTGTTTGTTGATTGTTGATTGACCTGAGTGTCAAGCTTTTAAAAATACCCTAGTGTTCTGTTGTCTTCCCACCTATCCATAGGTGACAGTTAACAGAACAAACTACAGGTCAAACGTGGAGAAATTCGAATGCTCTTCACTTCTTCTATCTGAAGTTTGTGCTGCTGATGATGATGTTGTTCAGATGAAGAACAATGAAAGCTTCATAACCAAAAATCATCCAGCTCACAGAGAACGAAACACCACTACAATCATCCAACTGAGCTATACAAATTTTCTCCACCATCTCATTCATTAACTTCCCGAGATAATCAATCACTAATTCGATGAAATTTTTTAATTTCATTTACTTTGAGCGGATAATTTTTTGAATTTAATTCAATAAATTAATGTGTAATTTTGTTCATTGTTTTTCGATCTTCACTACATTTTCATTGCATTCATTAATAATAATAATAATAATTCACTGTGATTTTTTTGTACAAATGATTTCTGATGGAATAATCACTGAATTCAATCAAAACATAACTAATTTCACTACGATTTAATCTTTGCTAAATACATAAATATTCCTCTTTTTGCAAGATTTCTCCCTAATAGGAGATATGGCTGACGGGTTGAGAACACTATTGATATACAATGGGATTGAACTATTGTCTTTAGAGAGTGATCACTATTATGACAATTATACTAATGCTGTTTAATAGTTGATATAATTGATTTTTCAACATTAGATCATTGGTTCAATATTCACTTTACTTTTGTTAGTTAGTAGTATCGCTTGTCTTAAGGAATTTTCACGTAAGAATTCATTAGTTATTTAATGAATAGAAAAAAGTTTCTTTCATGATGAGTTGATACAACGGCATTTCCCTTTTACAACTTAAATTCATGTTTCAAGACGGTAACTTTTTCTGTCATTTATCAACATGTATACTTTCATGCATCATTATAAATGATTCATAATCTTTCTTACGTAATAAATGTCGAACTAAGAACAACTTTGTTTTTAAAAAACATATTCTTTCAAAAATATATATGATCCTCGATGGAACTGTATGAGAGAAAGTAATTTATGTTATTTGTAGACTGTATTCCTCTTCAATAGATCTCAAATTTTTGTACCACTTGAAACTGATTGAAATAGGAATTGTGCGGTGTAATAATAATAATGGCCTAGTAGTTCTAATGGTTAGATGATATTGACTGCAAGACTGGTGTGATCGTTGATAGAGTTGTGGATATGTACTCCTAGATAGTCTTCACACGAGAATGAAATAACTTTCTAATCTAAGTAGTTTTCAATGGAATATTTACTGAGATCAATCTCAGATCTAAATAATCTATAAAAAATAATTATCATCCTACCAAAAGCACATGGGATTTCCCAGTTAGTTCTTGAAACTGAACCAAGAAATTTATGCAATCATTTGGTTACTTTCTGTCACGCCTGCACATAAACACGTCAACTTGATATACTTGAACTATTACGAGTTTACCAAGTCGGAAAACGAGAGCGAGGACCCGGTGACACGACATGCTACTCAAATCCGATTACCTCAACCCCCATATCGAGTAAAAACAAAAAGACTTGATTATGAAGTAGAACCTGTAATCTACAAACATCCAGAAAGTACGATGTCCGAATCCAGAAGAAAATCAGGATCCCGAACTAGGGATCCGAGACCTGGTCCTGGTCATAAAACGTTACAGATAATGCTTATTTATACATTTTGATCGAATAGGAAACAACATCGAAGTCTGTGACATTGACAGTTAAGACGACCAATAGGAAGTAACATTTGAAGTGACACTGATAGTCAGGAAAACCAATTAGAAACAACATTGGAGAACGTGACATTGATATCTAGGACGACCATAAAATTGACCAGTAGGAATTAACCAATAAGAATTGACCAATAATTTTCTTAGGATATTGGATGAATATCTTAACACTTTCACTCTTAGCTTATTTTTGTATTATACATTCGATGTTCATTGTGTTGTTTTGCTGTAATTTTGACTGCATTCACTATCAAGCTTCTGCTGATCACTTCCGGCTTATCGTTGATCTGAGGATAATTATTAACATTCTGTGTGTCATTCGTACGGTTTATGGAGTTCGCGTTACATTCTCATTTGTATTTAATATATTGTAAATCGTTTATAATTTAGTGATTGAAGATATCTGGCTTGACTGTGATAAAAACTACACTTGAGTTTCTATACTTATGTTAATTTTTAAGTATGAACATCAAAATCCAGATTAGTAAAATGATGGTATTCAATAATTCAGTATCGGGAACTAAGGACGCTTAGATTCAATAAAATATTTGACCAAAAATACTTAAGCAACCTCTGAAGCAGATATTATACCACATCGGTGTTATATACACAAAAATCAACTATTGTCAACCGAACAACATCACTCTTGCTCTTTCACTAATAATCTAGAATGTGACTAAACATAGAGAATACTTACCGGTCTACCAAGTGAACATCTGATCGACATTTTCCAGCCTGACTTTTTTGAATGAAGATCATGTGTCGTACCTTTGTCTGTGTCATGTTTAGAAAAAACATATTGCTAATATTAATCTTATTCGACACCAAGAAATCTCTCGACAGTGTTACGCTTAATCTGTCGTTCAGCATGTAGTAGTAGTCCAATCGAATAATTGTTCCGCTTGTAGGATGGCTTCTGATGAATCAATACCGAAAATAGTCAGCATCATGTTGTGGAATATGTTGATTTTCATTAAAATCATGAATCAATCAATGTTAGACCACCATTGGAAATCTGAAAGCACTAGATGACCGTTTTGTTTTAACATGAGACACTCATCAGCAGTGCATACCCACGAGCCTACGAACAGGAATCGAACTCAGGACCTTCGATCTAGCAAGCGAATGCATGACCACTGAGCTGGCATCCAACGGTGTTAATATCTAACTTCATCGATCCAAGATGTTGCGTGACCTTACCCGTTGTCTTTAGTATCTAAGTGTCTTACATTTGACACGGTTGAATTCCACTGGTCACGAGTGTGAGACACTGAATAGGTCTCGCAACATCGTTTCCAATAGGGGTCTCACATTGATCAGTTTATGATTTCAACGAAACAGTGCCGAATAACAAGTTAATTCAAGGATATCCATAGGCGTGATGTACAGTCAAGTGTGCCTTTAGTCTATTGCATTTTAGAATAATAATGTCTATCAAGGGTTCCGGATGGGAAAGTTAAATCATAATTTGGAAGGACGTCTTATGTAAATAATTTTTGTGAAGGAAATAAAACACAAATGATAAAAATTCTAAAAAGGAATTAACCTTGTCAGACAATGATATTGTGAGACCACTGCCAATTTCAAATGGCTTCAGTTATATTTTTACCTGCATCGACAGATTCACGCGATGGCCTGTAGCAGTGCCCATAAAGGATATTTCAGCAGAGACCGT